CAGTGTGATTGTAGCTTAACTATACATATGATTATGAAGACTTAGCAGTCTGAACTACGTGTGAGGGCTGCAACAGATGACAGCTTGAAAAAGCAGAAACAAAAAAACCTTCATAGTATCTGTTATTGAAGAGGTCACTAGAAAGTAAGCCGTATGGTAAAATGTTTGTCTTCCTAAATATCAGTGACTTTGGCTGTTTTCTCTCAAGTTCCTCTTGAGTGCAAAGCAGAATATAAAATATAGCCCACGTGACAAGTAGGATCTTCCAAAAATGTGTTGTCCTTGCTCTGGAAATGCTTTGTTGTTTTTTTTTTTCTCTCTCTTTTGAAATGCAGCTGAAGATATTCTCTTCTGCCATTCTCACACAACATTAGAGATGTATCAGCTATAATGGAAAACAGGGTGATTGCTCTGCCTCAAAATAGATCCCGAGCTGAACAAATGAGAATGTTTTTGTGCTCTCAGCAACAGATTAGAAAAAGAATGGAAGAAATGGTTTTTCGTTAAAGAGTCGGTCAGTGCACTTCCTGACAATGATGAAATCTACAGAGTCGTTAGTTTGGCTGAACTGCTGTGCATCTCCTGTAGGTATTAAGTACAATAACTGTGTTTTAAATTGGCTTTTCAAAAGTTCATCTCTTATGTGAACTCAGTATTCAATTACTTCTGCTGACTTATCGCTGTAGCAGAAGTGTACCAAGTAATCTGGAAATTTCTCTTCTCTTTGAGCTTGACTTTTTATGTCTCGTGTGTAATACAGTGACAAGAGTTGTGGAAATGAAAAGCTGAGTGCAGGGTTAGTTTTTTGTGAATAGCATAGGGGCAAGAAAATGCTTCTTAAAACCTTTCCAAGGCATTCATATCGTAATAGAGAAGCCAGTCTTTCCCCAAAGTTAACGCCTGCATACAGAAAATAGCTTTTTAGCAGCATCTCAGCATGATGAGTGCGTTTGCTTGTATTTAGAGCATTTAATCACAGACACATTAGACAAGACCAGCGACTGTGAGTTAAGATTGACCACAAATTCTGTGTCGTTATGCACAGAGCAAGAGAAATATTAAAATCCATAAATGGCAAACTCTGTAATGTGTTTCATTAGCAGAAACAGCTGCGGTTTCTCTCTGCTGTAAACAGGATTTCTTTGATGGTTGCTGTTTCGAATTCCATCCATCCATCACTTACAATTTTGTAGTTGGCGTTTTCTGGCGTTTTCTTTAAATTTAAGGAGGAAGAAAGTTTTATTTAGTGGAAAGATGGTCAGCTAGAAGTATTAATGTTCACTTAAAGCGTCGCATTCTGGCATTGAAGTCTGTTACCCTTGACACGTGAAATAAAAATGCGTATTTTGGGATTTTTAAAGTGTGCTGTCTAGACACATTATGTGCCAGTATCATTTCACTGCCACATGACAAGCTTCACTGACAGTAAAGTCAAATTTCTTCTGTGTTCCAAAGATATTTGGTTCTGCTTGTCCTTAAGCCAATTTTTAATCCATTTCAGTAGCTCGTTCCTTATGCCGTACTTTCTGACCTTGTATGTTAATCCAGTGTGTGATGTACAATCCTTACCCTAAATCTAGATAAATTACGTCCCAAGGCTCACCTTTATTTCCCAGTTCAGTCATGCACTTTAAAAATACAAATTAAGATTAAGCTTTTCAGACCTGACCTTCCTTCTCTGAACCTGTGCTGACTGCTCAGTTATATGGGCTAAATGTTTTATAATATTTCTGTCTTCTTCACAGCTGGAAGTCAAGTTTAAGTTTGAATGTCTGAAGCTCTTCCCTTGTTCTTGTGTTAAACAGAAGATGGCCTGCCCACTTTTCTCCAAATTACACCTTTTCCAGTGGGCTCTCACATATTTCCTAGAGGCTTTTCCTTCTTTTGCTGTGCCTTGCAAAATGCTAAGGTATAACCATGGATGCTCACAGCATTTTGATGAAAAGGAGATGAGAGCAGCAAGGCTTGAAGGCAATTATGGCAGCAGAATTAGGTGTTTGTGGTTCTGAGATGCTTGTACCATGGACCAAAAAGCTGACCCAGCTGACAGGGTGTACAGATGGGTGCCAGTGCCCCTCTTGTTGGTCTCCATTAATGTCTCTAACAGCCTGCTGTTTGTATTGGTGTTGTTTAATGGCAAAGTGCAGTGTAGTTCATTTTCAGTGTGCCTAAATGGATCCATCAGATCTAAAACCAGTATTGATATCTAATAGCAAAGGAATCTTTCTTTTTTTTATCTTCCTGAAAAACCCAAGTTCAGTTTTTTAAGATATCCTCTTCAAATATCCTTTTTTTTTTCTTTTTTTCTTTTTTTGTGGCAATTTTTGGCATAGAAGTATGCGTGAGGATGCAGATATTTTTCAAGTTTCATGTCATTTGTGACCTAAAAAAGGTTGGATGTTGGCATTAACAGGTGTCATTACTGCTGAATCAGAAAAAATAACAGACATAATGTTACTGTACGTGGTTATTTCCATGTAAACCATGAATTTTGCATGTTGGTTTGTTTGTTGTTGTTTTTTTTTTTTAAGATCTGATAGAGGATAAAAGTTTGAAGTTGTGTTTATCCATCGAAGAAGTTTTATATCTGCTTCTGGATATTTGATGAATATCCAGCAGCAAAAATGAGTCCAAGTACATCACTTCAAATTATTGATGCATCTCCCATGCCATGTCCTGCAGGAAAAAAAAAAAAAAAAAAAGCAATGATTTGATCACAGTTTTGAAGAAGCAATATCCAGAAGCTAACCTGGTCGGTGCAGATATAACAGGCTTAGGCTGGAATAGCATAAGGAAAAAAACACCCTAAGTGTTTTGTTGCATAACAGTATCAAATCATTCCGGGAATTTAAGAAGATTGTGATAGTAAAAAGCAAATGACTCGGGGACTCAGATGCAGGTAGAAAAGTGCAGGTTGTGAAAAGAAGGAAAGACTGGTGGCTCTTAATTGTAGCAAAGCTTTTCTTCATCCAGAACATGACAAAATTGTTCTTAGAGAACAGATTGGTCCTAAGAGCGGCAGGGCTGGTACCTGATGTCAGGTATTTGCAAACCCAGCATTATGGCAGTCTGAGCTCACAGTGTGCAACAGAATTCTCATTTAAAGAGTTCTGAGCTGGATTGGCATGGACCTCCTTGGGTATGTGAAGTGGACACAGGCTGAACAGGTATGGCAGCACTTCCTACTGTCCTTGTAGGTAGGGTTTGAACGTCTGATGGAAGGAATGATTTTGGTGTTCCAGTAGATTCAGGGAGTCTATTGCATTGCTTTCATTTCCTCTTTCTTTCAGTGAACTGCTTTGTCCAGTGCTTTGAATAAGTGAAATTGATGGTGTTCCAGTATAAAACGTACATAATAGGTAATAAATATGTAATATGTAACAAATGTAGCTGCACATTTTTTATTTGAGAGTAGTTTAACACTTTTTGCATTACTTTGCCATTCTTTTTTTTTCACGCATTTTTTATTTGAGAGTAACGTAACACTTTCTACATTACTTTGCCCTTCTTTTTATTTTCTTTTATTATTCACCTATCTAAAGGACAAGTTGCCAGAGTCTTAATTCTGTGTATCTTGATGGTAGCGTGAAGGTACCTGCTGTTGTCTTACAGATTGGTTTCCTGACTGTGGAAGCCTTAAGTCTTCGTCTCAGTGTGGATTAGTATCAACAAGGCTTCGTAGTATGTTCATTCTTCTTTTCTCTGTTAATGCCTCCTTATGATTGTATGTCATCAATCTAAACCGTCTTCATTGCAGAAATGCGAGCCCATTTGTTCATATAATATCCACCTTTGGTTTGGTTGAAGGGGGAGTCATTTTGTCAGTGAAGCATGTTCTTTTGGGGAAGAACATAGCTCTTCTGACGTTGTCTTAGTGGTCACCTCTACTTGGACCATCTGAAGTCCATATGAAGTGCAGTATGGCACCTCCTGCACCTGATTACTGAAATTTTGATCTACTGTTGAAGTAATCAGCAGAAGTTGCAACTTTTTCAGTAGGGTTTTCTTTCTTTAGCCAAACATAACCCTGTCAGAAAAGATTGATTAATTTCAGATGGCAGTGCCTGGTTATGCATGACCCACTTGCCAGATCTCACCTTGGCAGTAAGAAAATAGCTGTGTAGAAGCAGGTTGGGGGTTGCTTTAAATTTCTGACAGTCTCATTGTTACTCATCTCTGCCAAGTGGAAAATACGTTCTTCCTAAGAACTGAGTCTTCTGAATGAGTTTCTTATTAATTACTGAGCAAAATAACAATTTTGATATGTACACTTTTTTTTTTTTTTTAATTTCAAATTGCAGCGTTCATCATAAATAGTGTATTCTTTTTTTCTGTTACTCATACTATTTCAACTATAATTCCTCTGTAAACAAAGCAGAGCTCCGTATCAAATTAACATTTGTTAGACCAAAGGAAACGTAAGAAACAGAACAGTCTATACAGGAAAGAAAAAGTAAATTGTTGCTGGAATATAAATTGTGGGTTTCCATAAGGAGGCTCCTATGGTGTTGGACTTAAGGAATGAGGATTTGAAAAATCCTCATGTGTGAGGAAAAGAAAGCGTTGTACCAGGAATCCATAGCAAGAACTCTATGTCCACAGCTACTGTCATTATATTCTGGTTGAACTTCTTGCTGATGTTGTAGGTGCAAGTTATGTCATACAGAGTCAGCAGTTTTCTTTCTTCCTTTCTGGATTTTCCCAAACTCTTGATACTGCAACGAAAGATTCCATGTGTGTATTGTATAGCTTCTGAGTTTTTTATTTTGACTACAGAGGTTACTGTAACTGAAACTGTTCTTGCTCTTACAGCCTATGTAAATTGTCATTGGCATTTCTTTTTTATTTCCCAATGCAAAATCTCATAACACAGTTGTCTATGTGATGTGCAACTGGATTGTAGTTCATAAAAGCAAGCCAACGCTGGTTAGTAATTGTTCATAATTTTACTTCACTGTCTGTGAGACCCTTTGACATACAAGCTTTCTGTTATTTTTTAGGCTGAACAAGACAACGGCCATCCTCTTCCTGCCTTTGCCAATTTGCATATTGAAGTCCTTGATGAGAACAATCAGAAGCCTTACTTTACAAAATCTACATACGAGGGCTTTATCCTTGAATCCTCCCCAGTGGGAACAACCATCTCAGATAGCCGGAATCTGACCTCTCCATTGCAAATCACGGTGTTGGACAACGATGTTGAGGAGGTACGTTTCTCTATAAGAAACTTATAGTCTTAAATAGAAACTTAAATATTCTCATGCTAGTGTTTAGTGGATTTTTTTTCATGTTTTTATTGAAAGCTTGGAAGTTGTTTTTTTAAAAAAGCTTCTATTTACTGTTACGTGGATTTCTTTTCATTGAGTTCAAATGGGTTTTAAAGTGATCATGAACTGGGAAACTAACTTTTTTTTTGCCTAGCTGTACTTAACTGCCTTCTGTTAAAAATGGGCGCATGGTGTGAATTGAAGAAATGCATTTAATGAGAAGGGTAGATCTACCACAGTGTACGAGGAAATGAAAAAGAGAAACTCAAAATGGAAGGAATTATTAATTCCACAGACAATTCAGAAGATGAGGAAGAAGAGAAAAGGAGGCTAAATGCTCATTTTGTTCTTTACTCAGCTCAGGTTTTGATTCTATCATCTTTCATGGTAATAATTGAACACACCCAAAAGAGTAGCAAACCAGATAGTAATCATGCAAAATCTTTATGGACGTCTTTTCTTCTGGTCTCAACCTTGATGCTATCATGTCTTTTATTCGTTGGCATTTCCTTTTGCTCTGTTTACCGTTGTCTCTCCAGCAGTCATCTTTACTTTTTTGTCTTGGTTCTATTCTGTTGTTAGCTGTGGATACCTAAGGGAAGCTGAGCTGTAGGTTTAAGGTTTCTAGAGATATTTATAATATAGTAGTGGACAGAATGAGAGCACAGCTGATGTTCCCCTCTATCCCTTCATTGCCAAGGAGGGACATTGAGAAGACCAGGAGGACCCATCTGATAAATACGTGGTGAAGAGGCTGGTGCCACCAGACAAATTTTGGCTTTTTCAACCATTGGGCAGTTGATTCAGTGCATGGCCCAATGGCAGCTGATGGGATCCACCTTGGTCATTGGGGGAAAAAGAATCCCAGGATCTGTCTGGACTCACTGATAGAGCTTAAACTAGGTTTGAAGGGAGAAGGGAGTGGTGGTGAGCCTGCACATGACAAGGTATGAGACGACAGAGCTAAGTTAGAGGGATAAGGTGCTAGTGGAGGCCCTCAACCTGCTGCATCTTATGATGAAGGCAAAAGAGAGGCTAAAGCTAAATACTCCAAAGGAATTAAGGAGTTACTTTCCAAGAAGGTGACAAGACCAACTACCCAGCTGAAGTGTTTCTACACCAATGCAAACTTGGTATATAAACAGTTTGCTGATGACACCAAGCTGTGTGTTCAGAGAGACCTAGACAGGCTCAAGCAATGGGCCCAGGAGAACCTCATGTGGTTCAACAAATCCAAGTGCAAGGTCTTGCACCTGGGTCATGGCAACCCCCACTATTAGTACAAGCTAGGGGATGTGAGGATGGAGCACAGCCTTGCCAAAAAGGATCTGGGGGTACTGGTGGATGGAAAGCTGGACGTGAGTCAGCAGTGTGCCTTCACAGCCCAGAAAGCCAACCATATCCTGGGCTGCATCCAAAGCAGCATGGCCAGCAGGTTAAGGGAGGTGATCCTGCCCCTTTACTCCATGCTGATGAGGTCTCACCTGGAGTGCTGCATCCAGATGTGGAGTCCTCAGTGTAGGAGAGACATGGACCTGTTGAAGTACAAGAGAAAAGCCACAAAAATGATCCAAGGGATGGAACACCTCTCCTGTGGGGACAGGCTGAGAGAGCTGGGGCTGTGCACCCTGGAGAAGGTTGAGAGGTGACCTGAGAATGGCCTTTCAATACTAAGAGGGGAGCTACAGGAAAGGGAGGACAGACTTTTTAGCAGAGTCTGTGGTGGTAGGACAAGGGGAAGTGTTCTTGGGGAGGGAGGTTAAGGCTGGATATAAGGAAAAAGTCTATTACAATAATGTTGGTGAAGCACTGGCACAGATTGCCCAGAGATGTGGTGAATACCCCATCCTTGGAGGCATTCAAGGTCAGGCTGAACCAGGCTTTCTGCAACCTGATGTAGCTGCAGATGTCCCTGTTCATTGCCAGAGAGTTGGACTACATGACCTTTTAGGGTTCCTTCCAACTCAAAGGATGCTGTGATTCTTAAGGTGCTGTATGAAAGTTATGGAACGAGTGCATTGGCAGCCAACAACAGGCATTGCTGATGATTGCTGCTGCTATGTTTGAAATACTCTTCTTCAGCATTGCTTTTGTTAAAATCAGGGAGCTCTGTTGTTTGACCAAAGTAACAAGAACGTGTAGGTTGCTTCAGTTAGGAATAAGTAAGGTGCAAGTAAGAGGTGCATGTTTATATTCGTAGGACACCATGTGGTTTGTACTTGTATAATGCATGAAGCTCAGTTTTCCTGACTGCAACAACAACAACAACAAAAATTGATAAGAATTAGTGCCCATGGCTAAGTCCTTTTGGAGCTAATAATAAGGTAACTTCTCTTAGGGCTGTGTGATTCATATGTGCATTAAAAATTATTGGGATGTTTTTAACTATCTTTTGCCTAAAATATTGATGTTTTGTCTTATCCATACCTCCATGAAAATACTAGTAAAACCCTTTGGTTCAGATTTGCCTTGGTGTGGAGACAGTTCTGGTTGTTTCCACAAAGGGCTGTTGGTCGCAGAAATCTGGAATTCTAGGGCATCATTATAGCATGCTTTTGTGACCATACACTGACTTCACAAAAATGTAGAAGATTAATCACCTGAAGAGTGAAAGACTGAAACCGAGTAAATCTGTCTGTGAAACTGATAGATTGGTATGTTAGGTGGACGTATTCTAAACCCAGAATAGGGATTTTTGCAAGCTGGAGAGCTGGTTGAGAACCACTTCTACCTCGGTTGCCTTGCTGCTAGGTTGAGAGGTGGACAGCTGAAAATAGTACATAAATCTGGCTATTACTACGTGATGTGCTGCTGATGTTTCCATATCTGCAAGTCCGCTGCTGGTCAAGCATTTGAGGGCTATCTGAGGGCTATGTGTCCTTGTGGCTTATACATCTGCGGTGACCTAGGAAAATCCTTCTGTGTGTACTGGGTCTGCAGGGGTAAATGAAGTCCTGTGGCATGGCTGGTGAGGAGGGACTGCATCAGTTGTGCTTAAAATAATTCACTCTCTCCTGTTTCCTAGCAGATACTCTTGCACTCTCCAAGGGAATGGAGGAAGGACTTTCATCTTCATTAACCTCCAGAGCTTTTTCAGATTAGTAGTTATCAGTGCTCTTTTTAACTTGCACTTTCCCTGGTGGTTGCAGATTTCTAACCACAGGATGTCAAAGGCAGGTTTGATCACCTAAGGTTCTTTGCTGTTGTTGCTATATGCTGCATTATACGTGAGACTGAAAACTCAGCATTTGATAGCTCAAAATCATCTTTATTGCAAGTAGGTTTGACCACAGGGGCTCTGCATCTCCTGCTTGTTCCTTGCTCACCACCCTCTGGTGAAGAACCTTTTCCTAATATCCGTAAGTTAAGGACAAACATTCATTTATATGACTCAAAATGCAGTACAGCCAAAAGTATCCCAGCTTGTGATATTTGTTTATTATTGAAAAAGGTTAATATTTCAGTTCTGCATGGTGAATAACTGCCAGGGCTTTCTGGACTACAAAATGATGTGGTACCAAGTGCTAATGCAGCCTCCTGCTGTGTGATGGGCAGTTGGGACAATTTGCGAAAGGTATTGCATAATAGATGCTTGCTTCTGCTCTTTTGTGTTGATTCATTGCAAGTCCATTAATCTATTAAAATATTTCAAATGAAACTTGAATTTCAAATGAAATTTAAAAGGGAGCAAGGTCTCTTGCTGAAGCATTCAAGTGTCTGTGCTTCTTCATAGCAGTGAAATCGTCTGGAAAGGTTTCAGCGTCGCAGTCTGAATCATAGTTACTTAACCAGTACTGCTTTGTGGTGAATTTCCCTCAAATTCCCTGTTTTTGTTTGAAAAGAAAAAGAAAGAAAAAAGTGTAAATCACACTAAAAGAAAGCCTGATTTGATGCAATTTCTGAAACATAGTCTCAGTATTGAAAGATGAAATCTTAAATCATAGCAATAAACTTCTCTAAACTAAGACAAATTGCCATCATTCCTTAAAGAACAGAAGAGAAGAAAGAAAAGTAAGTTGTCAGCAAAGCATTGATCCCAATGGCCTGAGATGGCTGGATGGTCTGATCCGTGCCTCTCGGCAGAACCCTAGGAGTAGTCTTCCATCAGTAAGTAGCAGGCATGCAGTTGCCAAACCCCTACAGCTATCTGCTTCTATCATGGGCTTCTCTTCTGCTCCTCTGCTACAGGTTCAGGCATTGGGATTGTGCTGCTCTGGTGCCTTGACTCCATCTGGGAGCAGGACTGGGCAGGGAGTATCCTTGTGCCAGGCTACAAACTGCTCGCCCTGCAGCTGGGATGTCTATTTTTGCTTTGTGTTGTTCCCATTCTCAAGTCAGGACTGACCAGCACTATGCAAAAATGATAATTTTGATTCCAGCCCCATTTCTTCCCAGAAGTGAAGACTAACTAATGAAAATCTCTGACCCTGCTGAGATTTGATGCCATGTGCCAGGGCAGGAGGGATGCAAGAGCCTGCCCAGTGACCCTCGTGGTCTTCCCTTCTCTCTGCTGCTAGGATGGCTCTGTACCCACTGGGTCACTTCCCTTAAGGAAGGAAAAGGGTCAGAGGCAGGGCTCAGTTCGCAAACATGGCAGGGGGAAGGAAGAGTTGCTCTGTCTCAGCAGCCCATACTGTAAATTGATGCACTTAATAAGTATGGATTTCTGATGAGAAGTTGACCATAGACCAAATATAGTCTATTCAGTCTTCTAATTGACAAATCAGTCGAGATTATATTTCTTATTAAAGTAACTCCCTGCCCTCAGATCAGTGTACGAAGAAAATGGTCATCTTAACTGTGTATCTTAGGCAAATACAAGCCAGCTTCTAAATGTAAACCTCCTAGGAATTACAATGTGGTCTTGCTATAAACCTTCCAAAAATTAATTCATAGATGTGATGTTTCAAACAGACCTTTAACTAGAACAGCACTGCCAAGTGCTGATATAATTAAGTAGTCTGTTTAAATGGCATAAATTAAATTAAGCTACATGAGTACCTTAAGACCAGAGTAAACTGAAGGTGAGATGAGGAATTATAAACTGAATGGTCTGACTGATGTTTACAAAAGGCTTCTCAAGACACTTGCTTCCTCACTCTTTTGCATCCTTAGGAGAATACTAATTTCTGACATGTCCTTTTAAAAGGTTGGGGGAAAACACTGTACAGAAACTGCCTTACTGCCTTGCGTGCTGAATCTTGCAGAATCTCATAGAAGCACACACAAAAAAATAAAACAACATTAAAGGACAGGACTTAATTTCAAAGTCAAAAGAAACTAATCAGCATTCACATTTATTACTGCTACTTGACTGCCAGGCTGTTCACTGACACCACACACAGTGTCTTGATGAATAAACTGGAGGATCAAGGTAATTTGTGCATTGCTCGTTAGACCACAAAGCAGTGGCATGTTTATAAAGTGCACCAGCTTATGTTCAGAGGCATTACCGTGTGCCAGCATGCATTCATATAGCATCTGTGCAGTAAACCTTATGCTTTTGCAGATGCTGAGGCAGGGGAGTTCCTCCATTCCTCACCAGATCCTCTTCTACCAGATCATGTTCTTGCCTTATCCTTCATTGTTTGTGAAGTTGAAGTCAGACTAGGTAGGTGGTTGCTCAGCATTCATGCTGAGGACGTGGAAAATGTAAAGGAAAGATTATTTTACATGAAGGTGCCTCCATCCCGAACCAAAAGGGTAAAACAAGGAATGGGTGAATGCACTTAGTAAATATAGATTTCTGATGAGTGAATGGACAAATTTGAAATGTAACTTAAAAGACAGGTTATGGATTTTCATGAACGTATGCAGATAAGGAGGAACAATGGATTCCTACCATAAACCAGAAATACCGAGACATCTTAATTACCAAAGCATTTTGCTGATTTTTGCCTGATTGCTCGTATCTCACTTACACTGTTGTTGTTTGAACTTGTATTGCAGCCAGTATTTTCCCTAGAGGAGCATTTTCAAACTACTGCTGTTCCTGTGTGGCAGTTCTGTGACATTCTAACAGTCACATTACAAAATACTAATTCAGGAAATAGTCTTCCTGAATGTAACGGCCCCTTAACATCACCATTAAAACAACCAAAAGAGAAAGGAATAATGCTTTTCTTTCTTAGGATTTATAAAGACGGGTTTTCTTTCGTTTCTGAATCCTTTTTTCCTCATTTATGAAGAAAGAAATTCTTGACTTTTACCATAGTATTTGATATCTTTATTCGTGTAGTTTGCATATGTTGGACCCAAATTGGTCCAGTATGTTGCCTGCCTTCTGAAGCTACTCTTTCTGCCTTGAGTCCTCAAGGAATTAGTCTTCCGTATACCTGCCCTGTGTTAAAACAAAGCAGTGCTAATCAGCGGCAGCACTAAAGATGCTGACATTAGTTTCCTGCCCTCTCCAAGGAGTGGTTTACCTGTGTGAAGAACATAAGGTGATTTTTTTTTGGTAACTTTTCTGCTCTCTTTTCGTTCAGGAAGGAGCGTGGCCTTTCCTGCCTCAACTTGAGAGGTGTCTAAAAAACACTGCAGCACTCCTTAGAGTCACGTTCGTGCCTCAGCCCTTCTTTTGCACAGTAACCACTGAGGTTTTGGTGGTGACTGAAAGAAATAGGAAATAAAACATTTCTCAGCATCAACTTTGGTTCTCTCGTTAGTCTTCTGGTATAATATCCTCCCAAGTGGAGATGGCATGAATGGTGGACCTTTCTTTGCTGTCGTTGGTTTTAAGTTGTATGAAGAAGTATCATTTAATGACCTCACTTTGAAGAAATAAAAATAGATAGGAAAAACAAAAAAAAAAATCACAATGTACCTCGGGCAGAATTTTCTCAGATTGGCTTTCATCTCTGCTGCTTACTCAGGATTTGTACTTAATGTTCTACTCCATGGGTTCTGTTAGCCTGAACAGTTGTGCAGCTGAAGTCGTCAGCCTCAAGTTGCACCAGGGGAAATTCAGGTTGAATGTTAGGAAAAATTTCTTCTCCGAAAGGTGCCAGAATGAGTTGCCCAGGGAGGTGATGGAGTTCTCCTGTACCTGGAGGTGTTCAAGAAGCATTTAGATGTGGTGCTGAGGGACATGGGTTAGTAGGGAATACTGGTGATAGATGAATGGTTGGGCTGGATGATCTTGGAGGTCTTTTCCAACTTCAGTGATGCTGTGATCATGAAAACCTATGAGGAGATTGCACTTTAGTTTAGTCTCATAATATCTAATAGCAAGGTTTAAGGTGTGGGAGAAGCACTCCAGGTACTGCGTCTACCTTGTCTGCTCAATCCAAGCTACTGTGAACCTGGAGGATCAGCTCATCAGGCCCTGCAGAACTCCTTGCCTGTTTTCCGCCAGATCTATTCCTTCAACTGAGTGCTTCGGAATGCTGAAACATGTTGTCTGTTTATTCTTTCTGGGCGATATCATGTAAGTTTGCTTTGATCTTAGTGAAGTGTAGAAAACTGTTTCTTCAAGAAGGAGCTGTAAGCTCCAATGAGTGGAAAAGAAAATAAAAAAGGTAACATGAACATCAGCACAGGTTTTCAAACTTCAGGTTATTTCTCCGAAAAATTCAAGCAGAAGGAACTTAAACCCAGGCTTTGCTTATCAGTAGTGCATGGGAGCACTTTCTGGATCTCATTATATTTTTGTCTGTAACCATCTTTTTTCCCAAAATGTACTGCTTTTATACAACGTTCATCATTGGTAGGTTTATATTTCTTTACTTAATACATTTTGCATAGGTGTTTTTGCTTTCTAGCTTGTATTGTTTATGCTTTGTAGCCATTCCCATAGGTAATGAGTATTATGTTTGCAAAATCATTTTTGGTTTGAATTGTGTGATTTATATATTTATGTATATGCTTTCCCCTGTCCTTCATTTTTCTCTGCACCATCAGTATTTCTGTGAGACTATCATTCTGTCCTGAAGCTTGCAAGGAGCCCTTTACACTGTTCAAGTCATCTGTGATGTAGACCTGTGCAATTCAGAAGACTTGTGCCTTGCTTATGTTATAATTGCTTTATGCTCTTAATATAATTTTTATATAAATCCTCGCTATTACAGAATGTATTTTCTTTTCTTTTTCCTTTAAGAAGTGTCTACAAAAAGGTCTGAAGTACATAAACCATCTTGGGTTTGCACTGTGTGCTTGAAATAGTCCTTGCAGATCACATGTTTACTCTGTCATGTGGATTCTGATAGTTTTCTGCTTAAAATCATGTGCTAAACAATTTATTAGGCACAAACCACATCATGGTTAGTTCACATCAACCGGTAGTTTGGTTAGGTATCAATGGTCAATCCAAGCCCATCTGAAACAATAGTTTAAGAAACTAGAGCATGAGAAATTTTGTAGGCAGCATGAATGAGTTGTTTCCCATAGTTGTGTTCATTTGTAGTATCTGCCAGGTGATGTGTGCACACTCATGCAGACTTTCTTTCAGCATGAAATGTGTTAAAAATGTGAAGGCAAACCACTGCAAATATTAAGAAATTTCTTTGTATGCCCAACGTGCATAGAAAGAGTAAAAACAGGTATCGATTGCATTAAAGTTGACTTAACGTAGACACTGGGATAAAATAGCTAAGGAATAGGATAGATGACTTTTGGAATGTAAAGGATCTACATTACTGTTTTTTCTCAATAACAAATTAGGGGAAAAAAGCAAGAACTGGAACAACCAGCCAGAACATTTGGAAATTAAACTTTTGACTGACTTTATCCTGTCTACAAAGTGAACAATTATTGGCAGTTACCTTCCATAATTTTGCATGGAAAAAAAAAGAGATTACTATTTGCATTGCTAGTTGTAAAATGCATTTTAATTTTACTGAGAGTTGGCTTACTTACAGCAAAGCTTTGGGCAGTAGAAAACCATTGATTTGGAACACTTTGATATTTCTTTCAAGTAGCATTCAGTAACTGAGATGGTTTTGCATTTAAATACTATAATCTTAGCCTTCCAAAAATAGGTTCTCTTTAGAGTATTTTGGATTGCTAAAAATAAATTCCTTTCTCCTTCCATTGTCCCAGTCTGTCCTCATAGCTGTCTATTACGACTTTTAGTGCATGTTAAAGTTAGTTTGAGTATCTTTGCCTGTTGGGTTGTAGGGACTGGTGAACTTTTCTGTAGTCTGTTTTCTTTTTTCATTTGTGTAAAATGACAATGATAACAAGGCAGGTGTTAACTTTCTAGAAGCATTTCAGATTCAGGTTGAGAAAACATTCAGTGAAGAATGTAATGCTACTTTTTTGGATAATTTGTTGAATTTAGCTAACCGTTGCATCTTATTCTACACAGGCACATTCTGTGGCACTGCAGTGAAAATCAGCTGGTGAAACTACTTATTAAGTCATGCTTTGTGCAGCCACTGGATTTTCTGTTAAGTTTTTTCTTGGTAGTAGCCCTCTGATTCCTCATCTCTACATTATATGGGACAGTTTGATAGAGTTTTTACAGAACTCGTCCCATAGCCTTTTGTGTTTCCCAAATCACATTTTCTTTCTTTCTATATAATCTCGCCTCATATTTCAACAGAAATAAACCGAAGAGTAACTGAGAGAAAAGTATTGAGTTAGGATTAAGTTAACGTACAAGGGCATAGGCACACTTATTGGAATACAAAAGGCAATAAGAGATAACATTGTTGGTTTTTTTTTCCAAATTTAATTGTAATGTGGAATAACCTTTGCAGTCTAATCATGTTAATAGCTCAAAATTATCTTTAAAGAGATGGAGGATGATAACATAAATACTTTCTCCTGGTCACAATTCGCATTTCAATAAACTAAAATCACAGAATGTGTGGTGAGGTGCTGGAACAGCTGCCCAGAGAGGCTGTGGATGCCCCGTCCATCCCTGGAGGTGTTCAAGGCCAGGTTGGATGGGGCCCTGGGCAGCCTGGGCTGGTATTAAATGTGGAGGTTGGTGGCCCTGCATGTGGCAGGGGTGTTGGAGATTCGTGATCCTTGAGGTCTCTTCCAACCCTGGTCATTCTGTGATTCTGTGAATGGCTTGGGTTGGAAGGGATCCTAATGCCCATCCATTTGCAACCCCCCTGTTTTGGCTGGCTGCCCCCCACTGGATCCAGCTGCCCAGGGCCTTCGTTTGGATGCCTCCAGGGATGAGGTATCCACAGCTTCTCTGGACAGCAGTGCCCAGGCCTCACCACCCTCTAAGTGAAAATTTTCTCCCACATAGCTGACTTAAATCTCCCCCTTTAGTTTAAAACCATCCCCCCTTGCAGTGTCACTATTTGTCTGTATTTAAAGTCATTCCTCTTGTTTATAAGCTCTTTTAAGTACTGGAAGGCGTACACTGAATTCTCCTCAGGGCCTTTCTCCAAGCTGAAGTCCAGCTCCCACAGCCTTTCTTCAGAGGAGAAGTGTGTTAGTTTGTAGGGCTTTTCAAAACACCAGGGAACACATGCTAAAAACCCCTTTTGTTTGTTCTGTGCTGGCATCCAGTGACTGAGAGGTAAAGACTCAGGATAGCAAGTCCATTCTGCAGCTTCTTAGCCAATTAGCAAGCTCAGGACAGAACTGGCTTGAGGTTCTGGACTTTAATTAGCTGCTCTGTTCCCTTTGAATAATAATTTCTGGTTCTGTCTATGGCAGGAGTTTTCTTCTTCTTTTGCCTTTGGTTTTATTTTGTGGTTGTTACCCTAAACGTTACTTCCAAACTGCAAATTGTACCGTAATTGTTTTAGTATTTGATCTGATCAGCTGAGAAATTAGTGATTTTGCATCAGTATGTTTTGATTTCTATCCAAGACAAAGAAAATCCCTGACTAGCATCGATTTAGTGGTATGTTTCAACATGTATCATTATCTTTTTTCACTGCACCAGCCCACCTGTGTTACTGCTTCATTAATCCAGATAGGTTTTGTTTTGTTTCCAGTATGATTGAAAACAGATACTTGGATCTGGTTTCTCGCTGCTGTTAAGTTAGTTATATTAGGCTTAAAAATCTATTTAAAGGAAAAAGTCATCTCAAACAAGAAGATGGTTATTTGCTTATAGTTGGGTTTACTTAACTTATACATAAAAGATTTTTAATACCTCCTTCGTCAAGCAGATAAGATTTTTCAGGTCAGTGTGTAACATTTTGTTAAGGGCTTTTTTCCTTGTCTTCTTAAATTATCCTTATTTTATTTTTTTTTAAGTTGCATAGATTCGTCAATCTCCATATTCTGCTTTCTGAGTATTTAGGTTTTGATGAGAGCTAGCACGTGCATTGAATAACTGGAAACTTAATGGCTTATAAGAATTAATAATAGAATCTGGTGGTTTTATTCTTTTTAAAGACCAAGGACCCACAGCTCCATCTCTTCCTGAATGATTACAATACCTTTTTCACTGTGACCCAGAGTGGCATCACCCGCTACCTCACCCTGCTGCAGCCTGTTGACAGAGAAGCCCAGCAGCTCTACACCTTCTCGGTAAGCTCAGTCCTTCTGAAGGCATACCAGACATCAGTCAGAGCATGGGTTGAAAAATAATTAGTTGTAACACCACTGCAGGTTATTAAATAGCAGAGATGAAGAAGTGGCCAAGTGGTGGCACTACCCAATAGTGTTCTCTTCCAAAAAGCATGTGTTCAGTTTGCTAGCAAGATTTAAGATCCCCCCCCCGTGTTGGCATCATATCAATGGTTCCAGGCCTGTATCTTTGTCACCCACCATGATACAGTCCAACCTTCCACTTTCATGCTTGGCCTTGAGGCCAACTTTGCCTTTACTTAGCTCTTGGGCTGGGAACATGATGTCTCTACTTTCTACTTCTGCTTTTCTAGAGGCAGTTTGCAGTCAGTCTGGAAACCCTGGAACAGTTCTAAGCTAGTTTGCAAATGGGCATATAGGCAAAACACGTTTGAAAAGAGAATTCAGATTTTTGTCTGTGGCATAGAACGACCCTCTAGCTCTTCACATCCCACATGAAAATGCTGTCTTTGAAATTCAACATAGATGGACAGCAGATCCTGTGTGTTGCAGTGCCTGAGACACGCACTGTTGAACAGGTTGGTTTGCTGTGGCCAGATCCTGCTCCTTCAGGGTATCCAGCATAGCTGAGGACTTGCTGCACGTCCTGCCAACTCAGATCCCAGCCCTGGAACGCAGCTACTCTCTCTCATTTCTTCTGCTTTTCTGACACAGTACTTTTTCAAGGTGCTTTTGCCCTGTTTCTTGCACACTGTTGACTCAAGCTCAATTGAAGCCTCCTGTAATTCGTTTGCTATGTGTTAAAAAACAAATGTAAAGCTAAATACTGCTTTTTACTTTTTATACTGTGCTTTCTCATAGTTGCATTTGTCTTAAGAATGCACTGTTAAATTATGTTTCTTGCCTGTCTCTTTTTCCCCCTGAAGATGATAGCTTCTGATGGCGTGCAGGAGAGTACCCCAGTGACAGTCAATATCGTGGTGATTGATGCAAATGATAATTCCCCAACCTTCTCCAATATCTCATACAATGTCAAGATTTACACAGACATGGGGCCTGGAGAAGGCGTTATAAAGGTAACGTTTCTGTTTTTTATTTGTTTTGTTAACTCTGTGCTACCAGTGGGCACTGGAAACAGCTAGAAATTAAGTTTGTGCGTTTCTATCTGCCTCATTAATTACTTAGCTATTAAGAATTTCCTAAAATGAAGTCATCTCAGACATAACGCTACATTTCAGCTGATTCACCTGTATGAAAAGCTTCTGTCTGTAAAAAAAAAAAAAAAACACACCTTATAAGAGGAAAAAAGCATTCTCCTGTACTTCCTTAGTTCTCATCAGACCTGATCTCTCACAGGGATAGGAGTTTTCTCAAACTTTTTAACTTCAAGGAAATTTTTAATTGCCGGAGGGCTACTGAAATAAAACACGTTAGGAAAGCAGGCAAACCAAACCAGTCAGTAGGAAATATCCAGAAGTGTCTTATCATGTCATAAAACACAGTTTCTAGACAAACTGTCTGTAGAGCAACTGAGCAGTGCAAAGTGTACTGAATGCCAGCCTTCATAAGGAGAAGAGCCAGGGTAGCCATTGTAATGAATGTTTTTGGCACTATGATTGAATCTAGAAAGGAGGTGAAACACAGTTGCGCTGAAGTTTATGGAAATAATGGTGACTGGTGATTATTCTAAGTTCTCAGCCATCTTCCTGAGTGATTTCCAGCCCTAATGGATGAGAAAACAAGATTCTGTGATTGTGTGATGATGTTTGTAGAGGTTGGCATTCAAGGAAAGTAGAAGTAGGAGTATTCAAAAAGAATTAATCATTGGATTGAGGTAATACCATTTTCATAAATATAATACATTTGAAGTCAGCAGTGGTTTAACTGGACTAGGAGAGAGTGCACTGTTTGTGTTGGCACATGACGTACTTGAAATTCATGGGCTTGCTGTATTTGTTATCTTTCAATCTTTGGTAGTGTTATTTTTATATTTTCATCAGTCTGGGCTACAAAGCGTGTAAAGAATCATTGAGAGCCCTGAGGACATTTTCAGCAGCATTTGGGGGGAAATAAGTTTAAAAAATAAGGTGCTTCAAGTTCTGCGAGAATTGGTGGCTGGATGGGTTAAAAGAAATCAAATAGTGCTCTCCTGAATGAGCAAAAGGTAGGCAGAGCTCAGGAGCTGTGTGTGGGATTGACAACAGGAGCTGCCTTCGCAACATTTCATAAACTCCTAACTCAGTCTATAATTGAGAATATTTAAGGTGCAGAAATAAAGGTCTGATTTTTTTTTTTTTTTTTAGATTGATGGTTCTTCCTAAAGAACCATCACTAGTCCAGAAAGAAATCATTAGAGTTGTCGGGGCCTTTGTTGTGCAGGGTGTCAGGCAAAGTAGTGTGCTATGGATTTAAGGTATCTCAGTGTCTAAACCATGTTTCCTCTTGGTCGGAGCTGCACGTACCAGGAAACACAAGGCAGAAGTTGGTGTTAAACGAGATTTCAGCCCGTGTGAAAAGGGAATGGCTGCAGTACCTGAGGCTGGCCATAAGGATGCTCCGAGCTGAGCGACCTTTCTTTGAAACTTAGGATGGAGTAGAACAGCTAACGTACTTACATGTTTAAAAGGAATATGCTCTTTGAAGGGCTCAGACAGACTCTCTGCTGTGTCAGCCTCGGAGATGTGCAAAAAGAGCAGGAAAACTATAAGTATAAGTTCCTCAGTAAATGATTCATTTTGGGAGGAAGCGAGAAGAGTGCTCTGTAAGGCCAGTTGTGTTAGCCAGGATTGCCTGTGGGTTTCCTTAGGCCAGGAAGATGGACATGTGCTGCCTTGTCAGTGTTTGCTTCTGTTTAACACATACCTTCTGAAATGGAAAACAGGCTTCTTGTTCTGAAGTGCTGTACGCTGATTTTAATGATAGACTTGGTTTGTTCTCTGCATGTGGAGCAAACATCTAACCCTAACTCGTTTTCAGTTTAAGAACCATTTGAGTTTTGCGGCTATTAGGTGATGATCAGCTATGATAGTCCCCAAAGGAAAATTACCCAGGTCAGATGTGATTAGTCTTTAAAAACCACTTTCTCTAATCTCAGAAAGTAGGTTAGAAAAAGAACACTGACCTCAGTGAATCTCTATAATCTCATAATCATTTACACATAAGCACTGCCTTGCACTTAACTCCCCACTCAGACTGTATTTTCAGGATGATCAAGACAGTATGTCCTGTACTAAGCATGTCATCTTTCAAGCAAACAAAGAAAAAAAGTTGATTTTCTACTATAGCAGTGCAATTGCTCTCATGTTGGTTGCCTCTTCAATTTTATTTTGGTGAGCTTACAAAAGAATTAAGATTTATTTGCTGAGTGTAGTACTACGAATAAGTTCAAAGAACCCCAGTCTGGTACTTGCTTGTTATCCCATTTTGTAGGAAACAATTTTGATTTTACTCCTGGGGTTGGGGAAAAACATTAAATTCTGTATTTGCTATGTAATACACTCTTAAAAATAACGCTGTTCCTTTGGCTCTGCTTGAAAATAACCACAAATAGCAAGGGAAAATATTCATTATGAGTGAAATTGTTGTACTTTTTTTTTTTTCAAGGAGTTTCCCTTCCTTCCCTGTTGCCTTTAGTAGGAGAGAGCCAAGGAGAGGAAATGAAGTTACATTTTACTGAGTTGCATTGGTTTTTCTTGCAAGCATGGTGGCAGGGTGGGTGATTTGCCTTTGGCACTCTGGTTGCAAGGCTGAGGTGCAGCCTGCGAAAAGCTGGAGCGTATCACAGGACAGGACCTTGTCCCCTTCACAGGAGGGGCCTCTCTCCATTTCTGATGTTACGGAGCAGAGTGTGAAGCATGTGCTGTCTGACATCTCAGGCAGTGATACAGCTGTACCATCAGGGAATTAGCAATAGGGTTGGTTTGGGAAATTTCTCTCCTCTGAATGCTTGCAGCAGCTGTCCAAGACCTTGGCTGAGGTGAATAGTTCCTCACTTAAGTTTAAAAGTCTGTGTGTTCTGTCTGTTTCAGGTACTTCATTGTGCTTCCTTTTACACCGTAGCTGCTTGAGAAATCTGTTAAATGTGTGGTAAATAACTATTATCACTTGCGAGACTGATTAATATTAAACCTATTTAAGTACTTAATTGTAGCATTTTTATATTGTTACAGTTTTTCTATCCTGTTTTCATGATTCTGTTAGTGCTTTGTGTTCCTAGAGATTCAGATGCTTAAGCCAACTACATGTTGATGAGTATGCAGCCATAAAGCAATAATATTTCATATAAGTCATTTCAATTCACTCTGTTAGACAATTTCCTTTCTGTATACAGTATGCTATGTATGCTATGCAGGGTAAAGCAAATATTAAGCAAGAAAAAAAGGATAGTGCTGAGAAGGGACAGAAGACAGCAAAGACCATAATCCACCAAGATCTTTATGCAAGTTTGCTTGAGGGTTAAAAGGCTTCCTTAGCCTTTGAGAACTACAGTGGATTATTATTTTTTTTTATATCTTCTGTTTACAGGAAAAACTCCTGAACTGCCGTTGAAAAGAATATGCTGGTTTTCCCAGGCTTAAAATTTATGAAGCAAAAAAAAAACAACCCCAGAAGTTATTTTCTTTTGTATCTGTGCCTTAATTTCTACCTGATTTCTTGTTGCAGAGGTACATTCTATGTTTATAGGTCTTGCAGGGGTACTCTCATAAGGATAATTAAATAACTGTGGCTGAAAACAGATAATACAGTATGCAGTGAATTAGTGCAGTGCCTGACCACCTTGTGAGAGTCGAAATAATTCTTATAGCATCCATACAAGTTAATTTAGAGGAGGTGCCCCAGATGTTGGTTAAACGGGGCGTTTAACTTCACACAGCTCAGCATAAATGGCCGTTGTGGTGAAGGTGAGAAAGATAAAAGATGGAAAAGCTGCAGGCAGTAAATCTATCAATCATCTGTCTTTTGCTCACAGTAGAATTAGTCTTGAACAGTAGCAGTAGTTCCAGTTGTACATGGGGACAAATTTTATTTAGGGCCATTAAATAAATACCTTCTCTGGGACTGTTCTGCTCTCGTGCCTCAAGTGTGGATTCTCAGTGCTGGATCACTTTGTCTCTTAAACAGTGGCCTTTCATTCCCAGCACATAGTCAAATGTGACCTGAGCCATCCTCATATACAAATACTGAAGTATTTGTTAGAGATGTTTGAGTTTTTGCTCATGCCTGTAGTTTCCAGCCTTTAAAATTGCACCTTGCAGTTAACCCCCAGAACAATTTAGAGAAAATCTTCACACAGGTTGACTCCGAGTCACACTTGACATTTTATTTACATGGTTATTTGCAACCCTTTGCCTTCAGTCCGTTAGCATATTAATTTTTTATCTACACAGTAAATGTTATTAACAGGGGGTAAATCTGGATTATGATTGCATTTCTCACTCAGTGCACTCAACTTAAGGTATAAACATAGAACCAGAGAATGTTCTAAGCTGGAAGAGACCAAGCCCAGCACTTTTCCCTGGTGCATCTCTCCAGATTATACGTGTACCCTTCCTTGATGACTTTTCACAAGATAGTTGTGTATGGAATGTGAGTTGGAATGAGCTCATGGAATGAGCCTTGCACATGCTTCATTGAAACAGTGACTTCAAGAACTGTTTTGGGGAGGTGAAATGGCATGATGCAGCTTCTGTGGGCAGTGTGAGTTCAACCAATTTTGCTGGACATTTAATTTGTGGAACACATAAGGTTGCAAGAAGGGTTGGTAGTTGTGTCTGTGCAGGGAAGGTTCACTGAAGGTGTCATTACAGAAAGTGTGGAGATCAGCTGTTGAGGTCAGTTTTCCTCCACGTGCAAATAAGACTGGACAGAGTTTATGCAGTTGTAAGCTGTGAGACAGTTGTGTATCTCCTCGTCCATTCAAGAATATTACTTCTTGCTATAGTAGAATATGCACCTATTTTACAAAACTTGCAGTACGTTACATTTTAATGTGATGGAACTGATGCTGCTGGATGTAAAAAGTTTCTTAGGAAAGTAAAATTAATCCTGTTTTGAACTTCCTTTTACGTAGATTTGAGACGTGTTTCTACAATCGTGTTAACTATGAAACCGTATCGGTCTGGGACAGCTGGAGATGAATTTATAGAATCATGTATTATGGCAGCTGTAAAACTTCATTTTTATTCATGCTTTCTCCCCAAAATATTATTCAAATCACTTATCTTTTCAAGCATTCGGTATTTGTGAGTTTAATTAACCTTATTAATTTATGTTCTTGTGTAGACAATTAATTTCCTTTTTCATGTCATCACTGTAAAAACTGGCCTCGTTCCAAATCCTGTGATTAAATGCTTAGGAGCTTGTATTTTGCATAAAGCCTTTATTTGCCTTTTTGTGTCTGTTACTTTCCAAGTCAAGAATGTTGTTACAACGCTGCTCTTAACTGTGTCACTTGGTTTGATGGTTACTTTTGCAAGGTTAATGAATGCATTCAGATGTGTCAAAGAAGTAGTTTAAAAGAGGGGTTTAAAGCTCTAAAGTGTAAGAGGGTGCAGCTCTGGTGTCTTGATACTGTCTGACCGTTGAAAGTCAACGTATTGCTATGTCAGGAGATCATATGGGTGAAATGTAAAGCACATTACCAAAGCACAGCCTTCGGAGGATGTCTTTTTCAGAATTTAAAAAGAAGATAGAGAAGGAGAGGTGTTCTTGAAAAACAACATGTGGATATTTATTCATTACATTTTTGAGAATAATTGGTCTCTTTCATAATTTTTGACATATTTCAACTATTTATCTTATGTACAATGAATTCTGGCATGTTTCAGCATGCAAAGATGAATTAAGATTTGCTAGTTCCATTTCAGCAGTGATAGTGGAATTGTTGGGAGACTGTGACAGATTCAAATGAAATCAGCTTAGGTAAAGTTTAAGTACTTCTGTTCATTGGAAATTTAGCTTTGGATCTCTGTGCTGTGTGTGTCAGAAGTACTTCAGGAAAAAAGGAATTTAACATACTTTTTCAGTTGATCAATACTGCATACAACCCATGCGAGGTTAGAAATGGCTGTTCCTCCATTAACTCCATTCCCAACAGCAGTAATAGTTTGCATTCCTATTAAAAAAAGTAAAACCCACTTTCATTAATACACCTAAGTCATTTGTCTTTCAGCATATCCATTAATCTCTTTAAGCTATTATGGGCTTAGTTCTTGTTTTTTAGCAAGTTTTTTTGACTTCATGTACAAAATTTCATATTTCACTGAGCCCATCTGAATAGAGGATCAAGATAATTCTACCAAGCAGCTAGATTCCTGAGTATTTCTGTGTTCTCCCTTTTGTGGTTAGTTTTATATGCAGATATTATTAATTTGACTATTAAAGCTCTGGGTTTAATTCTTTCTTCACCTGCTTGCTTGTCGAGTGCTTGACTTTGATGGGCAAAGGTGGTTTGAAAGTTGTAGAAAGTGCTCCAAAAGGTTGTGCCCCGCTGAAGGTGAGCATGATGCTGTATTGATTAATAGATGACAATATATTCTAATATGGCAGAAACTTGAATCAATTTCTCTACCTGTCTGCACTGCTGTCAGCTTTGAGAGTATCACAGGAATGAGAGAAGAGTGTCTGATAGACATTTAGCCTGCTGTGTTGGCTGCCCCGGGCTCAGGTGATGTCTGTTGATCCTATCGTTGGCTTCATGGTCATCACAAAGGCTTTGTCATCGTGTGTTATCCTTAAACCCTGGACTTGCAATCCCCATTGAAGTCAGCCTGCTGGCATGACTGTTTCCATTGAGAAAACCAACGTGGACAGGCCAGCAGAAACCCTTCAAGAAGCTGGGCAGATCGGTTTGGTTTCTTTTTGCATTCTTACTGTAGAGAATCATTTTTGAGGCTTTTTCACTGCTTTATACATCCCCAGGAGGGCTCTGCTACTACACCTGCTGGTGCCTCTTGTTTCCCACACTGAAATTCCCAGCTGCAGCCTGTTGAGCCGTCAGCTGCTGACATTTCAACTCCGCTGCTGTTGGTACAGGCCAGCTGTGTACATGAGCATCACTGCCATTGCCTGCTGTGGCTGTGGCCTCCTTCGAGGTTCAAGCACGACTCATACAGCTCTATGTCAATCCTCGCCACTTTCTGAGGTAATTAAAAGCCACATGGGAAACGGTATTTGCTGATAGACCTGTCAGCAAAGTGGCACTTTGTGGAAGAAGACAGTCACCTTAGAAAGCCTATAAGGTGTGGCTTGAAGTTAATTTCAGCAGTTCAACTCTAAATTTAACTGAGAACTATGCAGCCTTTTGTTTTCTGAAGGTTGTAATTAAGTGTAATTTTAAGTTGCAAAATAAAGTTCAAGAGAAAGGCATCGTAACCAGCTTGCTGTGTCGTACGTTGAATAAATTGTATTAGTTTAGCATGCACCTTAGCATGAGTAAAGGAGATGGAGAGATGAAAAAGCTAAGTTAAGAGCCTGGACAGCCAGCTGGCATGACTGATGCATGGGTGTGCACTTCTGAATATGTTATGGCAGAAGTCTGATAAGAAACTTCAGATTGCGAGTTGCTCGTGTTATGGTGGGAAGAAGTATTGGTACTTCAACAAGAAGCAAAAAAATAGGAATATTGAGGTTTTTTTTCTAGCCACATGTTTGTAGATGTATAATTTTTCATGGCACGCTACAAAAGAGGGCTAAAACTGTTGCATTTTCCATGGACAAAAGTAAAACTTCCCCATTTCACTGGTAACAAACTCGTGTTCATCATTAAAATTTGTGTCTAAAGCATTAGGCCTTAAAATTTTCTCATGCTGAGGATCAAAATTACATAAGTCTGTCGCAGAAATACTATGTATGAAAGGCTTAACTCCAGTAGAGAGATGATGTAGAGGCAACAACATAGATGTCATAAAATAAATAATAATAAAATAAATTATAAACTTGGGCTTATAACTGGGCCCCCCCTAAGCATAGCTCTTCAGATAGGTGGTGTCATGTTATGAAAGGAGCCTTGCATGTCTGTGAGGTGCACAGTTGTGTCTGTTACATCTGTATCCACATGGGAACAACTATCACGTCTCTTCCATTTGGTTTCCTCTGTGGTGTGCATGTAGGAGTAAAATGAACACTGTAGCCCAGTTCCATATGATGAGGAACTTGTAAAGCAAGACCTGGATATTAGGCTTTGAACAGTGTAGAGTGGGATGGAAAATTTCAGTAATTGAAAATGACCCTCTTGTTAGATTTGCAACTCAGTAAGGATCCCCCAATTCTTTTAATTATTTTTTTTTTTCAGGGTGTTACAAATTCCACTTAACAGAGAGTAAACTTGATCTCTATTAGTTTTCTTAAAGTTCATTTCTTAAAATAAATTTATTGCAATCTTAGATAAGCAGTTTTTCTCTGTTCCGTGATGTTCTTCCACTTATTATTCTTCATTTAAACTAAATCTTTTTTGTACTATAGAAATCAGAGATTCTGTTACAGCTGTTCAAGTTTTCTCTCGTTTTTGCTTCCTTTACCCCTAATAAGTTACCTTATTATTAAAACAAACAAACAAACAAAAAAACCAAAAAAAAACAAACCAAACAACTATTAGAATCCAACACTGAATCACGCATGCTGACATTCTGGTTTTGAATTGCAGCTCACTGCTGTAGATGCGGACGAGGGACCCAATGGACAGATAGTGTATGAAATTTTGGCTGGGGATCAGGGAGACTTCATCATCAATGACCGAACAGGCCTTATCACCATTGCTCCAGGAGTTGTACTGTCAGTGGGGCGATCCTATGCTCTCACTGTCAAAGCATCTGATAGCGCTCCTCCTGCACAGAGAAGGTAATTTGTCTTATCATGAAACTAATTTTTAATCAGTGCTTAGCAGTGCATAAAGAAGTGTGGTGCACCTGTACACCTATAATGCTGAATTGGAGTAAGATTCAATGTGTTCTTTTTGGTGTCTGAGGCTTTTTTTTCTGGTCAAGTGTCGTGTTAGAAATCAGTTTAATGTGTTTACTTTTAGTTACTTGTATTTTACGTGTAGTACATAGATTTCATTACTTCATTTGCTTGTAATGGTGTTTGTTTTTTTTTTTGAAGTCTGCATTATGCTGTAGTTGTGCACAAGAGAAATTGAAATGAAGGACTATACAGAAGAAGAGTGAGAAAGGAGGTGCTTTATGTTGAGAATTCAGCTTGCTGTGATGCAGAAAGGATCAGAAACTGATTTCTGAGCTGGAGACGTCCTGCCCACATATAGGGTGTGCTGCAGCATGCGTGACAAGCTGTGCCAATGATGAACAGTATCCCCACCGAGGCCTTAATTTTTAGCACAATTACTTTGGTTCTCCATCAGCTGATAGATAAAAGCAGTCTGCAGATTTACCGTGGGTAGAACACGGCCCTCTCATGTTCAAAAAACAAAAGATGTTTAGTCTCGCTGATGGGCTTCTTTGGATTTTGCATTCTGCATCTGTCAGCTGTGCACAAATGTTGTCATGTCACGAGGGAATGGCGTAGAGGTGGCTCTCGTGTTCTTTGTGTAGTGTCATGTATTGATAAGGCATCGGCCTCATCCAAAGAGTGTGATAGAGAGCTGTAGTCTCCCGTGCTTCAATTTCCCACAGACTTTCCACTCTTACTCAGGCAGGTAGTAAGAAGGAAAGTAAATGTAAAAGTTGAGTTTTGTGAGTTATTTTTTTCTTCGGGACCTGCTGCTTCTTTTCTGTCTTCAAACAAACAGCTCGTTCTGTTCTGCATATATTTTGCAACAGCATTTCCAGCCACTGAAGTCTTCTGATTGTTGGGTTATTCATAGTGCTAATATCTGATAGCGCTGTTTTGTGATTGAATTTTTTCCTCCTTTCCCTCTGTTGCTTGCTTTCTCTTAGGGGAGCTGATAGTAGGTTGTTAGCAGTGCTGAAGAGAAGATGGTGGACTGTTATGCACTTAGTGCTCTGCTCTGCTAACACATTGTGTACAAAAGTCAATCATGCAACTTCAGAAGAGCTTCAGAAGCCAGCAGCATGGCCAGCCTGCAGTGGTGGCTGCTGTGGTACAACGTCGATTGCTCTCAGGTTAATTTAGAGAAATCTTTCTGTCCTAAAATACGTATTCCTGGTGATGTGTTGGGAGGAAGTGCTTCCTTCTCTGACGACATCTTCCTTGAAATAATCTTATAAGTGGAAAAGCTCTTATTTTATTATCACTTCTCCTTGTCTTTCTTTTTATGGAATTGCAGCATACAGCTTTCTTCATGGCTTTCAATTTGTGTACCACAAACCTCAGCATCTAGGCGGTGTTCCTGTAGTTGGGCGTGCAGCCTTAGGGCAGACCTGGCCTTGTTGAACTGAGATGTATTCAGAGCCCAAGGCTGTTTACAGTGTGCCTGTGAAGGTTAAAAATTCACGGAGCTCTAGCGAGGTACTGTAGAAGAAACTATGAGAAAAATTATCCTGTTTGGCAAAGTAGATTTGGACAAAAAGATATTGCTGCCTTCCTGCTCTTTTTTTTCTCTGAGATTGGAAAACCAGAATTGAATTGACAGGGCTTTCAGCAGCCTCCTATCATTTTATGTAACGAGTCAGGATGAGCTTATGTGAGCTGCAGTTTGGAGCTCTTTAAAGCTGTCCTTTTCCATCACTTAAATATCAGTTCCTTCTTTTTCGCTGAGAATTGCTTGGAGTCTTGTAGTAGGGGTTGCAAGAAATTCTTGCAAATTCATCTACAAAACTGTCACATTGTTTTAGGAGCCTTGCCATTGCCTTGGTAAGGCAGTACCCAAAAGCTACAACGCCTAGGAATGGGCTAGGATATAATAGGCAGATATTGTGTGTGTGCAGGTAGGAAGGCTTGTTCCCCAGGAAATAAATAAATATGCTGAGGATTTGAATGTAACTTACAATAATCGAGCATTTCTTCCCAACTCTGCATTGTAATACAAAATGTTCCAGGTTGACTGCAGTCACGTGTAAACTGACTTGAGTTGAAACCATCCCTTTGCTTCTGTACAAAGCAAGGGCCAGCTATGAAAGCTGGTTTAAGAGCAGCAGTTCTGTTGCCTCTCTGAGCACTAACGTAAATGAAAATTATTTATGTCTAGCTCTTTCTCAGGGCACGTTAAATTCTTGACATGTATCTGTGCATAAAACAAGGTTTTCTATGGAGTACTGTTACAGTTTCTATCTATAAGGAGAAAAGAACGCTTTCTGTTTGAATTGATTATGCAGAGATAATGTGGGCAAAGACAAATTGCCCCACATATGTAAGTATATTCATTAGACACTGTATAATATGGTGGTATGTAGAAAGCATGCAGAGCTCAAGCAGAGTTGGAGATGCAGTCTCAGTGGTTTGTTGGCTGTGCTTTCTCTGCATTACCATTTAGCTGGGACAGCGTAAAACCTCTGTTTCCTTGCTTTTCTGTGAGTTTGTGAACATCTTTCAGTTCCTCTGCCCTATTCTGTTTTCAGGGTGTTCACCTGTTCTTGCAGCGTTCAACAGCAGTTGTTAGTTGTCAGCTCTGCCCCTTTTCTTTTTCCATAACAGTGTAGATTCTTCCAACCACCTGAAATTGAAAAGAAAAAAAAAGTAGCTATTAAATCCTATGCTGCTTTTCGTTTGCAGCCTGTTAGTATTTAACTTCTGTCAGCTTATCTTAAAGATTTGAAGAAAATTTGCTTACTATTGCAGTGAGCAGAAACCATTTTTTAAGGACCTTGTTAGACAATGAATCAGCTTGGGCATTATTGAAATGTAGCAGGATTAGAAGTGATAAAGAACAGCCGCTTTTTATTAGATGTTCAGCAGTGGAAGAAAAATGCACACTAAAACTCAACTATTTGGTTGTGTATATCAAACAAAGTCATGAACTATCTCAGGAAAACACGCAGTCTGGGTTCTCAGGTTTTCTCTGTTCATTCATTGTATCTGGTTTTGATCATTTGGTGATGATATTATTTTATTCCAACAGCGTAAATGAGGAATGTTGACTCAGATTAGTGGGTTATGATGAAGTGTCATAGACAAGAAGGCAGGGAATTTTAGAAAGCGTCTGTCATTTGTAACGAGGTAGTCTACACTGAGTAATCAACTGCAGCTGTGTGTGTCTGTCTTCCCCTGAATGTACTGGTTTTTTATATCCATTGAGCCACTAGTCTGCAAATTCAGCTCCTTAAATCCTTCCTAACAAGATGGATGGTGAGGCTTTGTCATTTGCTGATGCATTTCAGTGCAGGTTACATACTTGTTTTGAGTGTGATTACATCAAATAAGGAGCTGGCTGTTAGAATCAAAGCAGCAAGATTTCTCATCCCCTGTGTTAGTAAAAGCAGGTGAACCCAGCACATGCTCCAGAGACACTTGGATGTGGTTAGGCACTGCAGCACCTCTGTGCATGAGAAGCTTGGGATTGTCTAACAGGGCTGCTGGGCACTGATGGAAGTTTGGGAAGGCATTGTGGCATGACGCTGTTAAACCTTGAGGGCTCGTTGCAGTGCAGTGTGTTGTTCAGATGCAGGTGCTCAGTTGACATGTCCAGCTGCTGGATGGCCATTTCTGGAACCTTCCAGAACCTCTCAGGGCCTCCTGGAGGCAGCGGTTCAGCCCCATGGTCTTCTTATAGCACCTCAGTCCCTGCTACCAGCTGAACAGCCCACCCATCGACCTGTCATCCTGCTGCTGGAAGACGGGGAAGAAGAAAGGTCCCTTTGAGCCAAATCTTCCTTTCAATTTATGGGAGGCTTCTAGCATCATCTCTAACTTCAGAGCAATTGAATATCAAGAGTGTCTACAGCATAGTTGTGCAAGGTCTGTAGCGGGTCTCAAGGCCCCCAGGAGAGCTTTGAGCTTGCAAACTGGGATGTGTTTTGTGTTACATTGGCATTAGTGGCTCAGTGCAGTCTGGGTTTGCCGTGTCTCCTCAGTGACAGTGAAGCCTCCTGTATTGCCATGGCTAACTCACCTGATTTATCCATGTAAACCACCACGCTGATGCTTGTGTACATCAGCCTTCTCCCAGCGTTACCTCTCCAATAGTGCTTTCAGTCCCCTCTCTTACAAAGAAAGGAAGCAAGCAGTACCATGACAGGGATGCTACAGGGAGATGTTGTGCTTAACAGGAGGAGTTATCATCACAGGATTTGTCATCCTCTTCTAGAGGACCAAGGGATTACAGTGGTGAATGCAGTAACATTTTATGGTTTTGTTTTTAAAGACGTTATTTAGCTTTTTGTCTATTAATGTTACAGCCCTGTTTCCTATCGATGGGGAATGAAAAAATATGTCCTGAAGCTTTTAAAGGAGCGAGGGGAGATTGTTAGACTTGCAGAACACACAAAGAATAAGACAGACAATAGTTGCCTTGTGTTTGCTGATGTATTGACTTGGACTTGGATTTTTTTTTGTCTCATTGCAGGAGTTCTATTACTACTGTTTATATTGAGGTCCTACCACCCAACAACCAGAGCCCTCCCCGCTTTCCACAGCTGATGTACAGCCTGGAAGTCAGTGAGGCCATGAGGACTGGGGCCATTTTGTTAAACCTGCAGGTACAGAAGCTTCCCTGTAAGCCTTCGCCACTTTCCTTCTGTTTGTGTCCGTGCCATGAGGAATTCAGTCCTTGGATGTAGTGGGGAAGTATGGTTTCTAGGGGGAATGTCTATTTGTAACAAATAGCCCCTTTACACATACCGTATAGGAAACTGATCCGGATGTTTCTGAAAGTTCTTTTTTTTCTGGCACTGAATGTGCTAAAAGGTACCATAGGCTGCACGTGGGATGAGATTTATGATAAAGAATGTCATGAATGGCTTAAAACTTGAAAAAAACTGTGTTTTCGTGCCATCAAATCAGAATAACTGGGGGACTTGTGCACCTCATTCCCATTGAAATTCAGGAAGATTTTTGGCACTCAGCCTTCTTTAGCCTGACATATTTTGAAAAGCATCCAAAGGTGCTTACTCCCCTCAGTGCGTGCAACAACTGCTGCTACAGGCTGACAAAAAGCAGGTTTCACTGCCTCGTTCTGCAAACATCTCTATTCCGAGCAACTACCCTGCCCCAAATTGCTCTGCAGGTGGAAGCAGTGAAAACACATTAATCCAGTACTGTTTATAAATAATGCTGCATTAACCTGTTTTTGCAGACCCACATTGTTTCTCTGTGTGGTGCTGCACAGTTAATGCATCAGTTTTCCGCTGGCTTATTTTCTGTTCCCCAAGCTTTTGTGCTTTGTGCTGCTGTGTCTTGAAAGCCAGCTGTGCAAAGTAGACAGATAAATTACCATTCTTTCAAAGTGTTTTTTGAGGATCAGGAAGTTAATATTATTATGAAATAATTACGGTCTCGAGTCTAAAGCAATAAACTCAGTGCAGCATGCTCTTCTGAGATTGGCTTTCTCTCTCCCTCTCTCCATATTCAGAATTATATAAAGCCAGTCAAAGGAAGATGACTGGAGATACCTGAGCTAAACAGAACCATATGGAGCAGTAGCCTGTATCTACTTAAAGTCAGTGTAGCTCTACTGAAATCTGCTGAACTTGGTTGTGTTAGCATCAGTCCGTATCAGCTGAGGGGTTTGGCTCTGTATACTGCACACATTCAGTAAATACACAGAAAATAAATGATCTGACCCAAAGGGTGTGAAACAAAGGAACTCTGAGTCACTGGTGAGGGTGAATGGGTAAGTTTCACTAGCCTGCTGAAAACTGATGGAGGTTTAAAATGACTGTGGATGGCTAAGCTGCTATCACCTGTGCTGAGGGACAATGACTCATGTAGCTCAATACTGAAAATTAGCTGCTGGGGCAACCTCAATGTGAGTTCAGAATTAGAGATCCATGCTGCTCGGGAGCCTTCCCCACACTGGTGGGGAGCTGCTCTCCTTTGGAAGCACCACAGAACAAAGAGAATCAGGAGCACGCCGATAAGCAGAAACACTTGTGTTTACTTGGCAAGTGTCAGAATGTGTGGACAAAGACGTGAGTGGTCTTCAGAGGCAGAAAAGCCTCTGCAGTTTTTAGTGTTTGAGGATTTTGTGTGATTCAGATGTGGTTAGAAAGTGAAGTGTGCTGTTGGAATAATCCGTCTTCATTAATGTTTAACTTACCACCAAATGTTCTGCCGAGGTACTGTTTTCAAATGTATCTTGGTGTAAGGTATGCTGAGTAAGCCTGGGAGATGGCCAGGCCCCAGCTGGGATGCTGGTGATAGAGCAGTGGCTGTTCTCTTGTTACATAGCCAGGATGGCCAGAAGGGACCAATTACCCTTTTGGGAAAGAGTGAAATACATCAGTTTTAAGAGCTTTGAAATTACACAGAAAATGCTGTCTTTTGGTTATTGTTACTGCAGTGTAGATTTATCTTATTACCAGTGCAGTATGCCTGAATTGAGTTCGGCTGTACGCTTTTTGTTTATGAAAAATACTCAATTTTTAAATGACAACTCTGTATAGCTTTATCTCTTCAGGATTTGTCAAAGACAGTTTCTCTGGCGGGGCTGATGGTCCTGAACATGGAAAGCAGATGCTTTGTCTTTATAGAGCTAACTCAGCTTCCTCATTCTGCATTAATATGCTCATCTGTATTAAAGGACTTTTATTGTGTGGAGTATATTTCTGTCTTTCTCCTTTTTTATTTCCTGCATAAAATTGGCCAGGACATTTTAAACATTCATAAACTTAGTATTTAAGCTTTCGAAATCTTCTGCTGTCTTTTCCAGGTGAGACTATCTTTACTCATCTTTTATTTTTTGTGCAATTTTAACAATAGCTTGGGATATTGGCTCTAAATGGGTAATATTACAGCTCCCAAACATTTTATAGATGTCACGTGTTAATTTTCATGATGACTTTTAATTTCACAAGCAGTCTCACTGATACGGGAATGTTGAATGAAGGAAGGTTAATGTTATTTCTGATATATCTGTTATTTATCTTATAATATACCCCGTTGATTGTGACTGGTGCTTTAATTAACAGCAGTTGAGATTAAGTAATGTGGTATTAAATGATCTTCTCTGTATTAATTTGTAAATAAACCTGAGTTTATTGCATGCCTGGGAGGCTTTAATGCTTTGCGTTAATTAAAATATGCAAATCTCGTCTTTCTGAGAGTCTGCAGTACAGAAGTAGGACTGTTACTGTGGTCCAGGTGTGGTGCCAAACAAAGAGGTGACACGTACTATGTATGAAGTCCATGTATGCAGTTGACCTAGAAACAATAGATGTAGGATGTTGTTTTCTTCTGAACTGCAGATTTTAAATCTTACGTACATAATAACTTGCTATTATTTGCAGTCTTTTATTTCTGAGTGTCTTTCTGGGTGACTCCTGTCTTGTTACAATGGAGTGTAGACCACAAATGAACCTCTGAGAGATTCTTACATGTGAGTTGAGATCCTCTTGAGATAAGGTCAAGAGAATACCCTAATAGGGTATTGAAAGTATATAGTATGGAAAGGACCACTAAAGGCAGAAGCAGTGGTGTGGTTTCAATGATTCAGGATCCACTGTTGTCCTCATAGGTGCTCTCTGATCACATTTTCCGCATCTAATCTTTGTGAGCTTTCATACCCCTGATTAACAGCATTTTTTCCTTGTTTTTACCAAGCAAAACCTTTTCCCTTCCTGTCTTCAGTGTAAAGTGATCAGAATTCTGCTGACACAACCCAGTGCACCAGTACCTCCTGTCTCATGGTGCTGTCTATGGATTTCATAAACCAATTCCCTCTACTGCCACTGATGGCTTTCATGAAAACGTGGATCAGTACTGGAAGATGTATGCACACCTTTGCAATACTAAATGCTATCCGATGCTGTCTGAACCGTAATTTATAATCAGTTTAATTGCAGCTTAATCCCACCTTCCATGTGGTCATAAAGTTTTCATAACTTGTTTGTGACAATGTCACATAAAGCAGTGTGGAAAGCCCTACTCTGGTGAGGATGCATTTTTACATCCCTAGTTTTCCTCCTACTTACACGACTTGTTGTCCCGTTATAAAAGAAAATTAGATTGCTTTGACATCTTTTGTTCTTGAGAAATTTAGCCTTGCTATTATCCATCTCCATATTGTCATCTTGGGTACTTACAGATAATTTGATTATTTGTTGTTTTCTGGGAATTGAGCTCTACCTGTCTGCTGTGTGATTTCCTGCCTCTTTCCTTTGTGAAAGATGCAGTTCGTGTTTGCCCTTCAGCACGTTTGTCCTCTGTGAGTTTTCAAAGAAAACTACTAATGGCTTTGAGATTGCTTCAGCCCATGTTTTTATACACTAGGATGGATTTCATCAGGCTGTAATTTCAGCAGAAGAAGCTCTGTTTATGTACATATGCGCTGTGTTGTTCTTCCCCTATTCTGATTTGAAATTTTACCCCTTTGCTGCCACAGTTAATTTTGTTACCTGCATGATAGCAGCTGGGATGCAAAGTGTTAGCCCTCGGTCCTGCTCAGCATCATCCTTCCTGCTTTTACTTTGTGACATAGTTCCACGCTTCTCAGATTTACTCTAACTTGAACATCGCCTATTACTCCATGTGGATGGGGAGTTGGGTTGGAAGGTTTTGTTGATTCTGTTTGGTTCATTTGTTTATTTTCATGGTATTTTTTTTTTACCTTAAGAACTGTTTTTGGTGGTTAGCCCAAAGGTACACAATTCTTGACTGTGGTCTACAGCAAACGCCTATAGACAACCAGATAAGAAAGAAAATGACTATTGAAAGATGAGAAACACCAAAATACTTTCTCTCCTTATCTTCTTTTTTATTTTTGGCATGTCTCCTATAAATCCTATATGTTCTTTTTTGAACCTGCTGGTCGACCTTCGTGCAGTACTCATTGCAATATTTTTACTGTTTTTCCCTGTCACTTTGTGATTTGAATGCTGCATGTTTGTAACTGTGATACTGTTCAGTAAACGGTATTTCCTCTGGAAAGCACCTAATAGTCTTCTGGGAAAAAAAGCATGTGTAAACCTGACCAAAAAAAACAATTATGTGGAATATTCATGATGATTTTTGGAAACAGATTAGCCGAAGCTTATCTTCGCAAGTAGTTTACTCAGCTTTGGAAAAGTTCTTTTGCCATTTAATAAATGGAGCAGACTTGTTTTGATGCTGTTAAAAGCTCTTTTCTAAGCTCTTATCCTGATTTTCATCTCCCAAGAAAGAAATCGAGGTGTAGGGTACTGATACACACTCACTTCTCAGTGGAACATAAACAAAAGAACTGGGATTCTGGTAAACTTAATCTGGATAAGAAAAGGGAACAAAAAGTTGGAATAAAGAAAACAAAGAGAGCCATTTCATTGGTCTGTACTTGCCCAAAAGTAACTGAATAAAGCTTAAGATTCGTATTGCACAGCATATATACACACTGCTGTGTGCTCACATGTAGTAATGATGAGGAAGTTTGTATTTAGGATACTGCTGTTCCTCTGGAGGATAAGAATTCTGATGCCCTACAGCTTGATCGTAAGCGGCCCGTCTGTAATTATCAGCACTGCCTTAGAAATAGATCAGCATCATTCCTGTGGAGAACTTCAGTGGAACTTCGGGGGTTAATTTTCCAGTTAATAAATTGAAGGGAAGAATGAAAAGCTTTGTATCTGACTTCATTTTATCTTCTTTTCTCCTAAAGGCTTTTGATAGAGAGGGTGACCCTATAAGATACCTCATTGAGAATGGAGATCCGCAACAAGTTTTTAATCTCTCTCAAAGGTAAGTGGAAAAGCCTTAGAATATAGACCTGTAACTTTCCAGTCAAATGAGTATGTGGGCTGAGAGCAAAACAAGACTTGTAATCAGACGTATTCATCTTCTCTCTAGTGTCCTTGGACACTAATGAGAGCTCTGTGAATGGTACTGTACTCAGGAATTTTTCACAGGGGACTATTTATTTATTTTAAACACTTTAGTAGGTAAAGCCTATTGAGGTGGAAATTTTCTATTTAAAAGAGTGACCAGGGATTAATTAAAAACCTTTACACTTGTCAGCTCTTGACTAATGACAGGTACGTTTTTTTGCTCTAGATTCCCACCTTCAAGAATTTTGGTCTGTGGTGGAAAATCTTTTAAGCATTGTTTTATAACATTTTTTCCCCTTAAATTGAATTCAAATTTAGTGTGGGGAAGAGAGAGTACTTCAGGGCATAACAAAGCATCATGTAGGTCTGTGTCTGCCTCATCTCCTTGATTTTACACAAGCAACTATTATTTATATTCCAGAGTATCTGTCTTATTTGCAGGAAGAATTGAGGATGGTGAGCTGACATCCTGTGGTAGGTGGTAGGACAGGAGTAACCTGAGGCTCACACGCTTGCAGCATGGGTGTAATAGTAAAAACTCTCCTAGTTTGGTGTAAGGGAGAGATTGTAGGGGTCCTTATATTCTGAGTAATTCAGAGACCTCATTGCAGCCTTCCAGTATTTAGAAGGTGATTATAAAAAGGAAATGAATCAACTTTTTACAAGGGTAGACAGCGATAGGTCAAGAGGGAATGGTTTTAGGCACGAAGAAGGAAGGTTTAGGATGGATGTCAGGGGGAAGTTCTTTACAGAGGGAGTGGTGAGGTGCTGGAATAGGCTGCCCAGAGAGGTGTGGATGCTTTGTCCCTGGAAATGTTCAAGACCAGGTTGGATGGGGCCCTGGGCAGCCTGGTCTAGTACCAGATCTGGAGGTTGGAGGCCCTGCATGTGGCAGGGGGGTTGGAATTTGATGATCCTTGAGGTTCTTTCCAGCCCAAGACATTCTGTGATTCTATGAGTAAGCAATGCAATTACTGACTACTGTGTCTCCTGTATGTGGAGAATCAAACAACTTGTGAAACAGTGTGGAAAAAAGCCTTGAAGATACCAAGAGATGCTCATGCCACTAATACTAACCAGTGGGTTAGTATGAATGGGATCTCTAACAATAAATATATGTTAGACAAGGAATTGGACAGCTTAGAGAGTAGACTTTCACTGAAATCATCAGAGGAGGAAACAGTGTTGGGCTGCTGGCTTTGCTCATTATATAAGGCTGGAGTTTTCAGTGCAAACTGAAAGAGAGCATGCCTTGTTCATCAGCTCAGCACAACACAGGTCTGTAGGCTTTTCTGCTCTAGCAATACTAATAATCATTCTCTGAGTGGAGAAACCTGATTAGTCATACTCTGACACCTTTGGAACTAGAGTAATGGAGAGTGCACCTGCTTTCAGTGGAGGTGCTCCAAGGGCTGGTTACTCAGCAGGTAGCTGTTCCATATAATTTGTGTTCAGCACATCACTTTTTTGCTTTGCATCATTAAAATCCCAATAATTCTTCATACCGAAGAGATTTTTTTTTTTTTTTTTTTAAATGAAATGCACAAGTTCTGGGCATCTTTGAGTGGCCTGCCAAACCCACTTTGTTGAGAGCAGCCTAGAGATTGAGTCCTGGATAGCTCCTGTATTGTCCAGCTTTGGATGTAAACAGTGTGGAGATAGGCAGAAGTCAAGCTGTTAAAGATGGTATGTGAATTCACAGCTGTGAATTGAGTCCACAAACAGGTAAGAAAACACTGGTGTGCTCTCTGAAGACTATGGACACAGCACACATCTGTGGTCCAGGTGCCAGGCCCTGAGGGCACCCATAGGCCTCTCCACCTCAACCCATGTCACCTGTCGTCACAGGGGCAGTAAGGGAGGACAGTGGCACTCCTGCTCAATGCCACACAGCCTCCAGAGCCTCTCATGAGCAGTCTGACCCTCAGAGCCCCCAGCCTCACATCCCTCTATGTGCATGTCTGAAAATCACGGTGCTTTGAGGGTTTCAGCGCCAACTCAGCAGTTTCCTCATCTTTTGATCTCTTGTTGCCTTTTGGCAAAAAGCAGAGCTCTTCAAAGTGTTTTCTCCTTTCTGTTATCCTTACATGCCTTGTCCTGCAAAATATTTGTGCAAAGTTTTCTTCAGCCGTTCACGCATTTTCTTGTAAATGCTGAAATGCCTAGAGGGAAGCTTAAAGTAGGATTAATATTAAAGCCTGCAGTTTGTGATTGGCTTATAAAGGCTGCATGAGATGTTTTTACATAAAGATTGATGCATTTTTCGGTACATCAAGGCCAAAGTGGTGATCGTGAACAGGACTCTATCTCCTCTCCTTTTTTCTCATCTGGATTATTTTCTTGCATCATGGGACATTTCAGTTGTTTGCTGTGTAGTTGCCCACCTAGCAGCATGGATAGTCTATCTCCTATATCTCCTTTATCTGGAAATCAGTCAGAGGAACATGTAATGGTTTAGTTTTTTTCCCTTTGGTAAAGCAGCTTTATCACAACCTGTACTGATTCAGTGCCCTGTGATGTTCCATAACAGAAAAATGATGATTGAAAGCTGGAATGTTAAATGAATGCAAGTACATCTGAATCCAGGATTTAAACTCAGGAGTCTGTGTAAATCAGCTGCTGCTCAAGTGGTAGAAAGGAGAAGACTGGTAAAGCAGTATAGGATGGTGCAAAAATATTGCAAAAACTGATAAAGATGCATACAGCTATAGGTCAGTGTTAGTAAAGAAGTATTTGTTGTCCGTATTTTTCTCCCAATTCACCTTTGGTTCTTTTGTGAATTAGTACTTTACATCTAGGTGTGTCATGGTGTTTTTTTCTTTCACTGTTACTTTCCTATGAAAAAATATTCTGTTCATGTGTTATTATGGTCTTGACAAAATACTGAAATATGGTGGGTTTATTATTATGGCTAATAGATTTGCAAAAACACCTGAAAATAAGAGAATTGATAGGTATAGGTTTAGTGTTTCACACTCATATGTTCGTATAATATTTTATACATATACATGTGTAAATAAACATGTAAATGTATACACAAAATTTCAATATCTGTCCATTTCTCTGGAATTATGCTTACCCTTCTGGAACAAGGTTATATGCTGAGTTTTCAGCATCTGAAGTCCTGCCCTGGGAGGAGGAGGAGGAGAAGGAGCTTCATGGTTTCTTCCTACTCACTCTAGGATAATAATTTTTTTGTTTGATAACATGCTCTGTATCACACATCTTCTTCCCCTTCTCTGTATAAACCTGGCTAAAAACCTGAACTTAATATATATGCTGTGTTTTACATATTTGGATGCTTGCTTGTTCTCTTTGTGTCTCTTTTGTGCAGCTCCTGGGTCTGTGTAGTGAATTGCTTGTAACCCAGGGTATCTCGTGTCATTCTGTTCCTCAATTCCTGCTCTAGAGGCCGCATCTAGAATACATAGCTGAATCCCCACAGAGGAGCACCATTAGAGCTATCTTACAGTTTCAAAATGCATATTAAGAAAGGAAAAAAATGCACAGCTCTAAAAAATGAAGAAAATGAAGAAAAGATAGGGACATTTAAGAAAACAGTTGTTAGGTAATGAATGTAGCTTGCTTGGACAGCACTGCCAACTCAGCAAAGCATTTCCAATCTTTACTGATTCAGAACGCACGGTTCCACAATAGAATGCTGTCCCTGTCTTGCTCTAGAGAACCTCAAAGATAGCATTCAGAATTTTGCAGGAGGAAGTGAGTACATCCTAGAGATGAAGTCCATGTCGCTTAATGCAAATTTACAGCAATTTGCCCCACTTTTGAAGCAGCGCTTTAATTCATTGCTTATTTTATCCCTCGTGTTCATGGCCTCCAAATAGCCCTTCATCATTTTCTCTTCATAAATGAGCATCAACAGTAACAATATGATGATTTATTCTCCCCAACATCCATGCCTGTGTTAATACTTTATTATTAGGGAATATAGTAAAACTTGTGCTTGCACTGAAAGAGCACTAGCTCGTAGCAGCACTTTATTGCAGTTATGCAACATGCAAGTAAGTAGCCTTTTCCTATAAAACTCTAAGGAGATTCATATTTATAACCATCATGTCGTATTCCCAAAGTTTAGTGCTATAATCCTGTCAGTGCTATTGGGACTCCTCTGTGATTGATAGACTGCTTGTGGTTCTCTCTCATTTATTATAGCACTGCGGCCTCCTAACAAATTTGAGCCCTTTGTAGGACTATCTATCTGTAATCCTGTATATGACTGCATTGCTATTTTAGTCCTGAATTACACATGTATTGAAGCAGAAAGCAAAGAAATTTGCTCATCATTTTTATTAGCTTTTACCTACACAGAGCATGCTTTCAGTTGTAATAAAGCCTTTAGAGCTTATTAAGTAGCTCAAGGAGAAAAAGTTGTGTGTTGCAAAGTAGTGGAACAAAAGTGCTCATGTAAATTTAGAAATTGTCGTTTTGATAATGTTTCATGTTTCTGTTTTGTTACTAGTTCTGGACTGCTAGCCTTAGGAAAGCCCTTGGACAGAGAAAGCACTGATCGCTATATTCTGATCGTTACAGCCTCGGATGGCAGACCAGATGGGGTGAGTTTCCTCTGAAAGATTAAGAATTGGGCTGTTACAACGTGTAGCCAGATACTTCATACAGTCTGCTTGTAGTACCTAGAAGTCTTCAGCATTGTCAGCGTGGGGAATGTACTGTAGCGAGGTCATGCAAGATGAATGCAGTGCAGCCATTCTGCTGTGGACTCACGCCATGGAATAATAGCATAGGTGGAGAGGTCTCTATGTATGTGACCTTAAAATTACTCTTTATAGAAAAGATGTAAAATAATACATCTGCGTTACCTGGGCTGTTCCAGAAGCCCGTGTTCAGCTTTAACGTTGAAACAGAGAAATCTTTGCCAGTTTGTTCAGAAGCCGTCAAGAAATCCCCTGTGTTTGGACCCTTGTTCACCCTGTCTTGACTGCTGCAGAAGGAAAATCTTGTGTGTTATTTCTTTGTCGTGCTGCTTCTCCCTACTTCAGCTACTTCCATTTACAAAGATTTGCCTTCCTGCTCAGTAGTTGCTTAGATCCTTTTTTCTCAAAGTATTTATAAAGTTTTTAGAGCCATTATATTTTTCCATGGTGATATGGAGTAACCGTAACAGATCCTGCTCTTTTTCCATTAAAAAGCTGGGTACAGCTCTCCTCAGTACTTCATCTTAACAATTTTGGTTTTGATACTTGTGAACTATTATCAAGAATGGTCTTGATAGCTATGAGTTCATTTGCTTTCATCTTAAACTTCCAGCTGTGAAATGTGACGATGTAAATAAAGAAATTGCTTTTGGATTTGGGCTATGTTATGCTGCTGAATTATCATTCCATGCCTAGGAAGGCTACTGAAGGCCAAAGAAGGCAGGGTTTAAGGTTCCCTGATAATTACCACCCAAAGAAGTGTTATTACATCAATGGAAGATATTAGTGATTTCTCAGTGCTAGCATAAAGCTCGTCATTTCTCAGAAAGCATAAATTCTTAATTAGTATAGCAGCCATCTGACAAGCAGGAGGCTGAGCAAAGCAGCAGTCAGTCACTGAACTCTTGGGTACGGTGTGTTCTTGACACACAGAGCTGTGTTGTGTTCACTTCCCTGACGTCTCCTTCTCTGCTTTCCTCCCTCAGTACCATGTGTTTTTTTGTTTTGTTTTGTTTCTGTTAGTTTTGTATCTGCACAGTGTGTGTTGTGTTAATTGCTCTTAAACACTGTAATGTGGTTGCACTCTTTTAGCTCGTGTGTTTTCTTCTGCTGCTTGGTTTAGGGGCTCTTACCTGAGCTGTAGCTGTTTCTGTTTTTTAAGATACTTTCTTTTGGTGGCAGGGACAGTTATACTCTTAAAATTGTCCTGCAATATGGCTTATTTTACAAGCTGGCTTAATTTCTCTTGCATACTACAATTCTGCTGACTACACAAAAGGATGAACAGTTAGCTGGATTTGCCACCCACCAGGCCAGCACCAAAAATGAAGCTGTAAAAGTCCCTCTGTTCTTGATTAATAAACAGTTGAGATAGGGCAACTCAGCCAATTAAATCCGTGCTTTTTTCCATGCCAGGCAGCAGCATGTTTGACTAATTTCAAGGTTTCCCTGTGTCTCTGCACAAGTGCATCTAGTCCAATCCCCTGCTAGAGCAGGTTCCCTATGGTACGTTACTCAGAAAATTGTCCAGGTGGGTTTTGAATATCTCCAGAGGAGGAGACTCCACAACCTCTCTGGGCAGCCTGTTCCAGGGCTCTGTCACCCTCACAGTAGGTTTTCCTCATGTTCAGATGGAACTTCCCGTGTTCAGTTAATGTCCTTTGCCTCTAATCCTGTTTCTGGACACCACTGAAGAGTATGTCCCCATTCACTTGACTCCACCCATTAGATATTGATAAGCATTGATAAGATCCCCTCTCAGTCTTCTCCTCTCCAGGCTGAACATCTCCAGGCCTCTCTGCCTTCCCTCACAAGGGAGATGCTCCATTCCCACATCATATCTATAGCTCTCTGCTGGATTGTCTCCAGCTCTGAGCTCTGCCAGTCAGCCTTTTTTCTATCCACCTATTAGACAGGTCACCCCAAGTCAGGGCATTCATGTAAATTTGCAAATTGATAACGTGGCAGACTGTTCTCATTAACAATGTTGATGCCTGTTTACATGTCGGTGTGATTTCGTGGAGGACCTTTTCTTCTTAATTAGGTTAAAGCATAAAAATCGTGGTGTCTGTAACTACAGGACTCATGATCTCCAGATTAATTCACGTGCAGCTTGTCATCAAGATCCTCTGTATTGAAAATTTCAATTAATGCCTGCAAGAAAATGATCATTGAAAGAACTGGTTTCAGTTTCCTGTTTGACCCCCACATTCTCCAAACTAACTCTTCCTATTGCCATCTATGAAGTCTGTCTGAATGCAGTTTTGCACTGGAAAAGCCTCTGCTTTGCACACCTTACAGTTTTGGTTTTTTTAATTGTTGGGTTTTTTTGTTGTTTTTTTTTTTTGATGATTCTTTTTCTATAACATTAATAAAGGTTCTAAGAGACTTTTAACTATGTTGTTACACCACTAAATAGCTGAGGTTTCTGTATTCTAAGCCCCAGTGTTTATTTAGCTGTTCAGTGCTATTCGGTGACACTCCTGTCCTCACACACCACCTTTTGACTTTTAGGGACTGCTTGTTCCATCAGAATTACTTATGCATCCACGAAGCGAGATGGCTTTCCATTTAGCCATGTGGCCTGGCTGACACCATTTCATCACTTTACATACCTTGCAATGCTCTGAATTGCTTAAAATGCTGGACTGTGCTTCCTAAGTTATTGTTGCTCTGATTGATAACCTAGAGCATTAACAGGCTGGTTTTTCTCTGACCTTGGAATACACAGCCTGCCACCTCTCACCATTAACACTGCAGTCTGATGAACAATTAAGGATTATTAGCTGAGTAGTCAGGAAAAAATATATATTTTTTTTTCCTTAGCAAGAGGGCAAAGCTGTAGATGGGCAGAATGTCAGGTGAACTAAAAGAATGTTAAGCCAATTTTACCAACCTGTGATGTGTTTGCATGGGAATTCAAGGCAAGAATTTATGTCTTCACATTTCATGGAGTAGCTGGAAGTAGGACAGGACTTTCGACTGAAGAAAGAAAAAGTTTTGCATGCTCTTTATTTTTGGCTTGGATGAGCGTGTATATTGACTGGTTTATATATAACACGGGAAGCTCCACTATTGTTTTACTGTGTACTGTATGATTGGAGCAGATTTGAAACCTCCAAATACAAATGGCCAGTCATGAAGATACTCAGCACTGTGCCCCCCTGCTTGATTTTGACTACTCAAGTCCTGGCAAAACAGAGCAGCTGGGTGCCTTGTCAGGAGCTGGCAGTATGGTGTGCTTACATAGCATCCCGTTCATTCGTTGGTCACATTCTCCTGTATGTCACAGAAGACTCAGTTTTACTTGTCCTCTTTTCCCACAGTGTATCTTAGCCACCAGATCACTAATCTATTTTGGAAGTCCAGAAAAACTTGTTGTCCAACTTTTCTTTCCAAGTTGTTGAATAGGCATTTTGGAAGACGTTTTAAGTCTCCTTTGTGTTTTGTGTATGTGGTTCTGAGTATCCGGTGCTGATTAATAAGACTGAAACGCCGCAATATTGAACTTTCAGGTTCAATATCATCCATAGATTTGCACTATAGTCCGTACAGGAGCTTAAATCAGATTGGTGAGGCTTAGAACTGAGAAGCTTAATGAACGTGCAGAAGCATGGTGCTCTTGGGTAGTCAAGGTAGTCTCTTTGCCACAGCAGTGCCATCTGCAAGACCAACCATTAAAAACTGTTTGCACATCTAGTGGTATAGTAAACTCATTGCCACAGGCTTTTGTTAATGAAAATGGAATAAGAGTTGTTGTGTCCTAGATGCTAGGCAAAGGTGTGGTAGAGCAGCTTATCCTAAAAGTGTGCTGCCAGGGCCTCGGGGCGCTCCGGTGTTGGCACAGACACCATGCACTATTCTACCTTCCTCCTTCTTTTCCTTGGTCAGAGCAGTGCAGCATTTCAGGTGGGCATTCAGTCACTGAGGGAAACATAAATAGTCTTATTTCAGTGCAGTGTGTGTTTGATGAAAGCCGCACTTTGATATTTCAGTCATCGAAGAGGATCGCTAATTATTTAGAGCATCCATCTCCCTTGACATTTGGATTAATTACATTGCCTGGAACCAACAGGTAGCATTAGATCAAGGTAATTTAGGCAAGGATTTACCACTTGAATAACATACAGGGAGTTAATTAATTACAGTAAATTTTCTATTAGTGCTGTAAATATTATCTGTATCTGCTTTATACCAGTTCCCTTGTCCATTAAGAGTAAAGGATGTGCAGGCCTTACAATAAATACTCACTGAAAAGATTTTATATATGCAAAGGTTTGTATTTTAAAAGGTTTCTGCTTAGCTGACCTTTCTGTAATCACTAAAGTGGGACTGGAAAAAAAAAAAAAAGGACTCTGTACTGTAGAACTTTAGAATTACCTTGATGTGGCACATTTAGTGAGATTCTTTGGTGCAGTGGAAATTAATATTTCTTAAATTCATGAAATGGAACAATACTGTGCTTCCTTGCCTAAAGAACCCCTCTTGAAATGATGTTTATGTTAACTGTGTAAATGGCAGCTAAAGAAAAATCACTGTTTTCCTGAAAAGTTACGTGCTTCATATCAGAAAACCTTAACTTGCTTTTTATCTGTTGTGTAATTTTCCATTTAGAAGTGAGAAAGGTGCCTAGCAAGACTTCCTCTTTAGGAGAGAAGGGTTTTCTCTGACCGTGAGCTTGCTTTTTTCACACCAGCTGTCATATATTAAAGTGAGATTTGGAAGGCTCCCAAACATCCAGTGTTTGTACCACTTGTCTGCATCCCTTACACGGGTGGTATTCCCCATTAAGGCTTTCATTTCAAATGCAGGGAAGAGGTGATTTAAATAATCATCGTGAAGAAGTAAAGTACTCTTGCTGCTCTGCAAATAGACACAGATGGTTGGAGCTCTGACTCCAC